TACTTTGTCTACATTATATTTGACTCGGTACACTAATGCTTTCATATTTTCTTTTGGTGATTCGTGTTCAGATGAGGCACTTATAAAGTCCAAGAAGTTCAGTACAGTTCATGTTCATATCAAACAATATTCTCTACTGCCGTAAGTAGTGAAGAAGTAAGTGACTAATGCTCTAATATCCATTTTAAATAGAGCACAAAATTATCTTTTAAAAACAGTTAAAATTAGTTAACGTGTTCGACTTATCGGAACTTAACCTAACGAAGCATAGCTGAAATATCATTAAGCATTTCGATATTCTAAAACTGGGTTATGGTTTTTTATGACATGTCAATTAGCCATGTTTTATCGATCGAGGAATGAATAATTTACTATAGAAAAATATCATAAAAAAAACTTTATTTAGGACCTTAAAAACATTACTATACTTTTCTATAGCTGAATATATACGAAATTCAACGGGTTACGCATAATAGGCATGTATAAAGCTTATGAAGGCCTATTCAACCACATATAGTTTCAATGTTCAATAGAAAGTCGGGACACCGCAAAATTTTACCATCACAGTGCATTGAATCGCGCGTAATGTGACGCCGGGGTGTCCTGTAAAGGTCCCGTGAATGTCCCGTAACTGTCCCGTATACTGAACTGTCATTATGCCCCGGACGTCATTACCGGCCGGTCATTACCGTTACATTACAATTTTTAGGGAGTCAAGTAAGATAGTTTAATAAAATACAGTGTAATCTGAGATTGTGTTTTGTCAATGTATTGTTATTGGAAGTAGTTTTAGATATAGTTTCAAAAGACATTGAGCGTCTTAATGTAGATTTTGTATAAGTACTACTTTTATCGTTCACGTCAATATCGGAATTTGAATTGTATTAAATCTTGGTTTTTTAACATTTTACGTTTTAAATATTTAATTAATCTAAATTAAAAGTTGAATCTACTAACACAACATTCGGTCACTAGTTTTGTTGAGAATCGGATGAAGTCAGTGACAACGGTCTGTGCCAACCATGTACACTGGCTGATTCCGGGTCAGAACCTGAACTCAGAATGTTCCTGTACTTGCACAGAATATTTTTTGCCCTAGTGCTTATATAGATCCAATATAAAATGTTCAATGTAAATCAATGAATATTGGAGTATGGAGAAGCACTAGGTGGTAACTACACAGAAAGCACTTGGAAATCGCACTGTTTTGCAGTGGCTTTAGCCTGTTGTTTATTTTTTTGATATCATTAATGATAGAAAAGATTTAACATATATTGCAACGATAGAACATTTATTGCAACGCCACAACACACAGATACAAACAAGATATTAATAATACTTAGATAAACAAAACAAAGTATAAAGAATTAATAATCAAAATAAAACTTCCAAAAACAAGAAAAAAGCAACATGAAAAAAGTAAAGGAAAACATATAAAAAGCAATAACCAAAATATAAGTACTAAAAATTTGTGATATCATTACGCAAAAGGACCTCATTCAGCTTATGCCACAACCATAACTAGACTGTGGCACTGGTTTTCAATAAACCCTAAGCCGAAATGAGAGACGGACGTGTGTGTCGCAAAATAAAATAGAATAAAATAGATTACGTAAATACTTGTGTATGTGTTCCTTGTGTCTTATTGCTGTGTGTTATATGGATTAAAATATTGCAATATATAAATATTGTAAAAATATAAATGTATCTACTGTGTATATTGTATAACGTAACGGGGTACACCGTACTATTATATTGTGAAATTATGTTTACGGTAAACGCCGTTAATGTATATGAACGGGTTAAAATAATAATAATGTGGCAGACAGCCACAACAATTACTCGGTCTTAATCTATGGAATTAATTCTCTATACTACGAATACCAGAGCAACGGAATTCAATCCAGGGCACGACTCGGAACACCCAAAACCATTTACTTACAACTAGTGGAGTATTTTCATAAAAAAATATATGAATATAATGGTAGTAAAAACATTATGATATAGTAAGGCAATTTATAGTCTCATTGTTGGGCACAGGTCTCTTTTGACAATGAGAGGGATTGGGCTGTAGTACCCATGCGGGCCTAATATACGCGGGAATATAGGAAACTTCACACATATCTTTAAATTGCTTTGACAATGTGTGCAGATTTCTTCACGATATTTTCCTTCACCGAAAAGCTTACGCTAAAAATGCGAGCCCAAATTCGAACTCACTACCCTCTGCTTGAGAGGCGGTAAGTTTAGACTACCACTGCCGAAAAAAATATGTTCAATAAATATAAATAACAAATCATAAATATTTAATTTAAATCAGTCCAAACTGGTGAATACTGTGGTAGTAAAAGTACCATGGTATTCAATAAAAATATAGCAATTTAGAGAAGTTCATTTTTCAAAATTTGGTACTCTAGCGCTCGCACTACAAACGCTTAAAGTAGTTGTATTTCGAAACTCCTCTTGTTTTGAAAGGCATATTCTTCTAAAAATAATACCATCAATGCCTTTAATCTATACTATACTCTTTTTATTTTACGATGACCATCCTCTCAGCAAAACTACACCGATAAGTTGCACCCTCGTTCAGGGCTAGATAAGTGCGGCAAATTTCGGGGCTCGAGTGTCGTGTTCGATATAATGATACGGGTGACCGCACTATCATTAAGATGCTATCTGTGATCATTACCAGGACGTCACTGGTGTCCCGTTTTTTGGTATTTTGAGTTTTCTTTATGAATATTTTATTATTTTTATATTTTATTTACATTGTACGGAATGTGATTTTCAAATAATTAACAAGCACAAAGTCATTCACCAACATTGCGTTTATTTTTCGGGAAACAAGGCAATATGATGTGTTTATTGTTTTATTTTAATTTTTATATCAAATTGCTTTGGGGTAATGCCGCCGATATTAATAGAACCTTTGACCTCCAGAGTGTCTTTGATAGGTTTAAAGAAATTAACATTCCTATACCAGCGTCACAATACATTTATAAAAACGTGATTTATGTCAAGACAATTCGTAAGTCCCTAAAAATGATGCCATCTATCAGAAGGCGCAAAATAGAGTATCTTAGTCACGTGATCAGGAACAATAGATACACGCTACAGCTAATATTGATAGGCAAAGTGCAGGGAAAGAGACGCGCTGGGCGAAAAAAGAAATCGTGGCTGCGGAACATTCGGGAGTGGACCAGCATTACCTCCGTCGAACAGCTGTTTTGGTTGGCTGCTGATAGAGACGGATACAGGAAGCTGACGGCCAACCTTCAGCATTGAAGAAGCGCTCTAAGAAGAAGAAGAAGATGTTAAGAAGAATCGTATTTTTTTTAAATAGAGACAGACATTACATTAATACGAGGAATAAAAAACTGACTGTTCTTGATAGTCGTCGTGAAGACGTCACAAATTCACTTAAGGGACAATGTTATACACTTCTATAGTGATGGGAAACCTCCTTCAGCTCTGAATACCGTACCGCTTCTCACTTCAGACTGGTGTAGTTCCCAGGACGTGGAAGCTTGCAAAGATGCAACCTGTGCCGAAAAAGGTTAGCAGAGCTGACCCTGTCAACTATAGACCTATCTCAGTCACTTCCATAATCTGCAAGACTATGGAACGTGTACTCAACAACCGTCTCCTATAGTACCTTGAAGACAACGACCTCCTCAGTGATCGCCAGCACGGATTCCGACAAGGACGATCTACTGGGGCGATCGTCTTGTGTATGCCTGTCACATATGGAGAGAGGCTATAGAAAAGCAAGGCGAAGCACTTGCAGTGTCTTTGGACATTTCTAAAACCTTTGACAGGGTCTGGCACGCAAGCCTTTCACGTAAGTTTCCCTTTTATGGGCTTCCCACTGACCTTTGCAATTGGATTTCGGATTTCTTGAGCGAACGTTTGATTCGAGTGGTCTTAGAAGGCTAGTCTTCCAAACAAATGGCGATAGATGCCGGTCGGAGTTCCTCAGGGTTCCATACTGTCTGCAACTCTCTACTGCATATCAATGATATTCTAGTTAATTCTAGGTACCTTTGCGTATGCTGATGGCAGCACAGTTGTAGATAGGTATTTGACCAATGCAAGGTACAGTGGAGAGGAAATCCAGTTTTGCCGAGAGTCCATGGTTAGCCGTTTAGATTTGACACTCCAGGCAGTCTCCGATTGGGGCAATGTCAATCTTGCCAAGTTTAACGCTACCAAAACGCAGGCGTGCCTATTCGCCACAAAACGGAGTCCCTTTGAGCTGACTCTGACTTTCCGTGATGTATCGATATCGATAGCTGACTGTCTCCTGCTACTTGGAATGGACCTGTCGTCCAATTTGAACTTCGGCAGATACATTGAATCCGTGGCCAAAAATGCAGCAAGGAAGCTTGGGATCCTTTCCAAGGTGAGGCGTTATTTTACACCGGGACAGTTGCTTCAGCTGTACCAAGTACAAGTCCGGTCATGCATGGAGTACAGCTGCCACCTTCGGGATGGCTCTGCTACATATCAACTGGCCACTTTGGATTCAATTGATAACCATGCCAAGAGACTTACAGGTGACTCTTGTGGAGGTGAAGCTGCAGAGCCCTGAACACCGCCGTAAAGTTGCCTGCTTATCGGTATTTTACAGGCTATATCACGGAGAATGTGCGATGGAATTACACGATTTAAATCCGCCATCCCCTTTCCATCACCGGAGGACTAGGCGTAGTCTTGGGTTCTAAACAAAAATGCCAGTTGTTAAACACACCAGTGTACAATCAAACAAATTAATTTGAAATTAAAACATTTTCGTCGCTATCGATAAAGTTAAACCGAACGACTGTACAGGTTATCATGCGATCACTATAGGTATACTATCATTAAGTAGTACTTATCACTTTTTTACAACTTCGAGACTTTTGATAGCATGTTATAGTGGCAATTAGCCTATAGTTCACGAACTTATTTTTAAACGCATAATTAATATTTACCCACTTGGTATTGTATTATATAGATACCTGATATTCCGTCGTACGTCCACCATTCTTCCCAGCTACCGGATATGTCTGAAAAAAAAAAGATCAGTCAAAACTGAAGAAATATCAAAGTAACAACAAATCGATACCTCCAATGAACACTATGCCAACTGAATTTTTGGACCTGTTCTGTTTTTAATTTTGTTTGTTTCTTTATTTTTCTGTCACAAAATTCGTTTTTTTTTCAATGTTTTTTTGTTTCTTGTTTCTTTATTTTTTTTCACAAAATTCGGAGAACATAATATTAGTAAATAAATAGGCCTGTTTACAAAAATAACAGAAAATGACCAAAAAATAAAGTTGGCGTAGTGTTAATTGGAGGTATAGAAATTATCGAGAGCTGCTCTAACGTTTCCTCTTTGGATCGCTAAGCTTATTCTGTTTATAGACTTCAAGTGACAGGTCATACAAGTCGTGCACCTGGCGGCAAGCGACACGTCTACCCATAACAGTTGTAGTGCCATTCAAAGCTTTAGATCGCAAAGGTCTTACGGGCACGGCTCCTGCGCTCATGTCACCCAGAGACTTTTCGAGCCTTTAGTTTCACCAGCACATTTTTCAAATTGACGCTGCGAAATGCAATAAAATGCAGAACTATTAGGATTCTTTACTTAATAGAGTAGTACCGCGCTGCGAAATGTAACCTTATCATGTAGAAGTTAAAGTTTATGTTGTATGGCTCAATTTAATGCATCGCAGCGTCACGTCTCTTGGCTGAGACAACTCGAGACAACCCTTCTCTTCAAAACCGGAACGCAGTAGGGAATCGAATTACTGCTTGGTGACAGAAATAGATAGGTATGGTGGCAGCACTTTCCCAAGGAACTCTTACACAAGGTGTTCTACTGTTACTAAATTATTATTTAGCGGAAGTAGCGTAGTGCCAGTCTTTTGGTCACCGGAGGCTCTTTTGTGGTTTGGATCCAAAGTTTTTCAGTTTCACCAAAAAGGTAAAGTCTGAAAAATAGCAGCCTAATTACCTACAGAAAGAAGAAGAAAGAAAGAAAGAAAGAAAGAATGAAAGAAAAATATTTATTGTATAAACAGAAGTAGAGCTCCTTGTGAAAGAGTTCGTCCAGGGAAGTACTGCCACCTTACCTATTTCTGCCGCTATGCAGTAATGTAAGCTTTACTGCATTCCGGTTTTGAAGGACAAGAGTGCTGGTGAAATTACAGGCACATGGGTATGTGCAGTGCTCCTGAGATCTTTGCGGTTTAAAGCTCTGAGTGGCACTGCAACTGTTATGGACAGGCGTGGCGCTTGCCATTATTACATGTACAATTGTACATGCATAACTTCAGACGACATTATTTAAGACTAAATCGTTGTTATTTTAATGTATGTAAATAAAGCTCTTTATTATTATTATTAAGCACGATACTGTAGCTAATTTCGCTGTAGTATTTCATATATACCTTTGACAGTGACACATAGCAGAGTGAGAATGAAAATGGAGCATTGGCGCATCGTGGCGATGCGGCCAATCACCGCCGTCTGCGCATCGGTGAAAGTTCTGCAACAAACAAACAGTACTTTTTTAAATACGGTTCACTACAATTTAAACACAGTTAAACGTTCGGGTTGTATGTCCTCTGAAACCCAGACCATATTATAATAGGATTGGTAAGTCCATACAAGTAGCGCGCGGTTGTATGTATGCGCGCCTCAAAATCAGAATTTTTCATCATTACTTCTCTTTTTTTTACCGACATCAAAAAAGGAAGTTCTCAATTCGACTGTACTATTTTTATACATGTTACGCGATTACTCCGGCAATTGTAAACCGGAAACTCTGATGATACTGTTTTGTTGAAAAGATTGTATTGGTCCCATTTCATTTTAAGAAAATATTCCACCCCTAAGGGTGGCAAACTCGGGAATGAATCCGATTTCGCGCACTTCCCGATAAACGAATTTCGAAGTCGGTTTTTTTATTTCAAAGTTATAACTATTTACGCACACACTCATGGACACACACATAGAACACCACAAATCACATCCAATACGTTTCCCGGCCCGGAAATTGAACCCGGGATCTCTGCGTGGCAGACCAGCACGGTAACCGTTCGGCTACGAAGGCAGTTTATATTTTCATAATCATACTACCACAATCGAGAAACCTATCCATGATGCAGGTATAAAAATATCTTCACTACCTTTAACAAAAGTTATTTTAAAATAGCGCGAGATTCTGTTATATTTTATTAAAAGTACCTTATTATATTGACCTCCATCTCACCTGATGGAAAATAATGACGAAGTCGACGATGGAGCATGCATACCTAAATAATACCTATTCACTCTCGTCTTGAAAAGGCCTACGTTATACCGATCAGGGAACAAGTCTGCAGGCAGGGAATTCCACTCCATGCCTATTCGCCATGTAAGGGTATCAGCCAGCTCAGACCAATAAGGGTAGGTACATCTGTCTATCTGTCAACACTTATACGCAGTAGTGTAATAATATTTGTTTGGTAATCAAAACTACTTTAAAATGATTATGAACGCATTTCTTAGGTATATTTTTTCATTATTTCTTCAACACGAAAACTAAACATATGGTATAAGTATTTGACCTTGTTTATTTAGTATTCAGTTCATATACTTTAGTGTTCAGTGTGCTCAAAATGTTTTGCTTCACCCAACAAGCAGTATTTTACCAGACGTGGTGAAGTCATTCAAATGTAAACACCGGGGCCATAAAGTAACTTATAGGAATAATTGCTTCAACATGTTTGTTGTGATTAGAATCGGAATGGACGAGGCTATATATACATATAGATATAAAGCGCGCGATACTACTGTTTTCGCATAGAGATCTCGCGCTTTGTGTCGCTCTCGTGCAAGTCGCGCCGTATCGTGCCAGCCGTACTGAAATCGTTTAATAATAGACAATTGTGGCAGCGCAAAGTGTGTAATCAGCCCTAGAGCTGTTTGTGGAAAAGTTTGTCCAGGGAAGTACTGCCATCATACCTATTCCTGCCGCCAAGCTGCAAAGTGAGCATCACTGCATTCCGGTTTTGAAGGGTCAAGGTGTTGATGAAGCTACTTGTCAGCTTTATTTCTGGATGGACTGCCTCCGTGGCCGAACGGGTACCATGCCGGACTGCCATGCAGAGGTCCCAGGTTCGATTCCCGGGCCGGGAGAAATATTTGTATGGCCTACATTTATTTCTCTCGTGAGTTTGGGTGTAATTTGTGGTCGTCTATGTATGTGTCCATAGCACCCGCGACAAAGGGATTTCCTAGTGCGGGGCTATGTTGAGTGTGTGAGTTATTAATAAAAAATAAAAAAAATCACTTAGACCTAAACTCAGCAATATTGTATAATATAAAAATTAATATTTTTTGTATACTATCAAGGGACGGGACGAACAAGTCGTGCACGTGATGGTAAGCTACACGCCTACCCATAATAGTTGCAGTGCTTTAAGTCGCAAAGATCTGAGGAGCACTGCCATTGCGCCCGACACCCTGAGACATAAGTTGACAAGTCCCGTTCACATTACTGCTTGGCGAGAGAAATAGGTGGCAGTACCGATAACTCTGTCTGTTACGTTTTCACGGGTAAACCGTTGAACCAAGTATTATGATTTTTAGTATAAAGATAGATGATACCTAGGAGAAGGTAAAAATAAATCTTGAGGGGGAAAATAGGGAAGGATAGTTTGAACCAATAATTGTCAAGTAAGGCGCTGAAAAATTCATATTTATGCCTTTTGTAAGAAATAAACAATGTTTCACCGTTTTTAATCAACTAACCCTCAAGGTAAAATAGGGGATGAGTAGGCTTCTCGAAGCACTTCTTCTACGCAGAAGAAGTCGCTGGCACCCGCTAGTAATGAATAAACAAAAACATAGCAAAGAATATAGAAAAGACTATGAAAAATCAAAAAGCGGGACGCCCTTGTCAAAGGAACACCATGTCCTACATTCAATCTAATTCTACTATGTGTATGTATTTGAGCTGTTAGTATGGCCTGTGGCTATTACACCTGTTGTGGTTATTACACCTGTCCAAAATAATGGTAGCGTGCTAATGCATTGGGCAAAGACCCTTGGGATTCCGTTTCGGTCCATAAAACAAGCCTATTTATTTTCCTTCCAAATAACATATCACCTATAATTTATCAAGGCACGCTTTAAAATAAATCACCACTAAACCGCCGAAAGTTCATTTCATAAGTGAATCAAAATGATAGCTTTTATGGGGTGTCTGTAGAGCGGCGGAAGCTCTGTCGAGTTTTGCGTAACTCGGCCCAAGGCAAACTTGCCCCAATCTGTTTATTTGGTTGCGAACTTACCCTGTTTATTCTGTTGTGGTTTATTTATAACTTGTATCTGCCATTATTGTTATTGGATTTCTGTAGTCTTTGTCTAACTCGATGATGCAGTGCAGCCATTTATGTTTTGAGGCGATTTGATATAATTTTTGATAGCATTTTGTTAAATTTACAAAATAGACTTAAAAACTTGCTGATACGTGTCCAGCCAGATCGGAAGAATTTTCCTTTGTGTGTATTTCTCTTTGTACAAGAACACACATACTAGAATTCAAACAGATAAATCAAAATACTGCCTAAACATGTATATGTAACACAATCTTCGCGGCACTACTTGTTAGCTCAGACAAAACGGATTGACACCACATAACACTAAATGTACCAAAACCAATCTGTGTAGACAGATAACCGCACCGTAAAAAGTTCCGTCTGAACACACTCCATGAGCAAATGATGTACCATCCTCAATATTTCCTTCCAGGCACTTCTTAATTTGAAGTTTTAAGAAACTGAAAATAGAGACTGAAATAGTGAAAATATGCCATTTTTCTGATACCAAATGTGACCATAACCTATTGTATGTGTATGAAAAATGTTATATTTAATTTTTCTCACTATTCAAAAACGTTAGTTTTAGACTTACATCACTTTACTATTGAATCTTTTGGGGTATGTTTTTTTATGATACCAAGTGACGGTACGAACAAGTCGAGCACCTGGTGGTAAGCGATACGCCTGTCCATAACAGTTGCAGTGTCACAAGAACGTTAATCGCAAAGACGTAAAATTAACAAGTCCCATGTGTCCGAAGTTTCACCAGTACTTTTGCTTTTCAAGACCGGTCGTAATAATGCTCACATTACTGCTTGGCGGCAGAAATACATATATATGGTAACCGACTATTAAACGTAGACATTACATAGAATGTAATATACATTCATTGAGTGCGAGAATTGACCCCCTTATAATACCACCCTTCTCTTCACTCGTGGATCGACCCAATTTGTCACCTACTTCCCATTAGCGATATAGGTATTTTGCTATTTTCGATTTTTCCATTGGATTATGAATTTTATGTACAAAGAAATAAGTACCATTATACTAACTTAGTCTTGTTTTATAACAGCAACAACTTTTGCTCAGTGGGTACTCCGTCAAATCGTAAAATTAAAATCAGCTATAGCTACTAAATCTTCTTAGTCTGTCACTTCTAAGGTCAGCGACTATCATGGCCGTCCTTATTTTTGAAGCTGAAAGCAGAAGCACGAAAGATGGGAACGTATGATAAGATTGAACCGGTTTCTCAAATTCTTCAACCACGAGGTTCTCCTTGTCACGACTACACTTTCCTTGGATTTTGCCCTGCATTATTAGTTGGAGAATCCGTTGTGTATTGCCTCTCGTTACGTGGCCAAAATACTTTATTATATTATTTTTATTATACTTACTTTATTACATTATACTTTCCGTACTAAATATTCAATCAAAAGCGACTCCATGTGACCAAGTCAAATTCAAAATTGCCTTCTCCTATACTGTCAAAACAGAGTAGTTTAAATTTGGGGCAAGATTATCAGTTCTATCCAAAAGGGGTAAGTCATAAGAATAGATGAGTGGGGCGAGTTGGGTATCGGCGTTTACACCGGAAGTAGAAGGAGTTAATGATTGGAGATAGCACCCCGAAAGCTTTAAAAGATATTTGGCGCGAAAGCTTAGATTGTAGATTGTTATCGTCTGTGAATGGGCGCGAGCCTCGTTTGCGTAGCGTGTTTTTCTATCATATTTAGAACATGTTTCAACACGTTTTTCAATTCTTAAACGCAGAATAAACGTACGTCCATTGCTCCGTCCGTACATGTGGTTTTATGTTTAAAAGAATTATAATAGGTGGTACTACAATGAATAATATAAATCAATGTAAAACTTTTAATTAACATATATTAAACCAGCCTGCATTCATACAAGGTGATATTTTTTAATTTCATAATATCTTAGATGAATTTTCTCCTAAAACCACTAATGAAATCGTGAAGTCGTAATCAACTTCATGACCTCGACTCCAAGACCTCGTCTGCATGAAGTTGATAACGACTTCACGCATTAACTGCAAACATGCAGTCAATCTGTTGTAGCCTAAGGGTGCTGGGAAACTATAGGCACATGGGACTTGTCAACTTATGTCTTAGGGCGACGA